GTACTGTAGTTTTGTACTTAAGTTGAATTTGTACTTAAGTCGGAACTGGCGTCCAGATTCAGCCACTGCTGAAACTGACCAGCGGCTGACTTCAGGAAGCCTGAGGCAGAGTTGCTCTGCCCCAGGCTTCCTGGAATCAGCCGCTGATCAGTTTCAGCAGCAGCTGACTTGGGGACGCCTGGATTTCTTAAGTTGATTTTGTATGTAAGTCAGAGCTGGCATCCAGATTCAGCCGCGATTAAAACTGATTAGTTTCAGCAGCGGCTGACGCCAGTTCCAATTTACATACAGATTCAACTTAAGAACAAACCTACAGTCCCTATCTTGTACGTAACCCGGGGACTGCCTGTAAAAGAAAAAATATGTATTGCACTGAATGGTTGTATGACAGGTTGTCATCCTGGGTACATATTTCATTAAATATTGTAGTATTGCCTTATCTCCATCATTCAAAGTGCACATCCAACTCCTGTGTAAGTACCACAGTGCTTGGAAAAATATGTTTCAATGCATCTACAAATAGCAGAATCATAACAGCATACAAAACATTCTAGGGATTCAGTCTGATAGGGTCTGGTGCTGCTAGTTAGGCAGTGAGCTTATGCCGTTATTGTCTGAAGGATATGGTCTTGTTTTGCCTCTTTACATTAGCAGACTTCTAGATTTTTTGTGAAAAAAATATACCATTCAATTAAATAAACCTGACACCTTTGTGACAAAAGGTATAAAAACAACCTAAGGAAGTAAAAATATGTGTGACTCCCTATAATGAACAAATCAGGGCCCTTTGCAGAGCCCTGAGATTGGTGCCAAATGATGATATCTTGAAAAAGTCATTCTCTCACTGCCTAACCAGAGTCTCCAGCCACAATCAATGACATCCTGTCTGAACCACTGTGGAAAACCCAAAATGAGAGGGATCATAGAATTGCTGCAATAGCTTGATTTGCCATAAATACAAAATTAAGGGTCTCCTTGGAAGTTTGAAACATTTTGGTAAGTGATGACTTGGAGGGTGGGTCAAGCTGGCTGTATTCAGAGATCACCCTGCAGAAGATATTGGCTATTTATACAACTCTGGGTGGCATATAGGTGGTTCATAAAGTCAAGCTTTTTGATAGACTGGATTTTGGGTTAAACTAGCGTTGAACTGTAATGTAGTTCTGCCTATTCATGTATATTTGCTAAGTCTTCTTTCTTAGGTCTATCAGCATGAAGCAATAATTAGTTTTTAAATGTTGTTATGCCTTCTACTATTAGAACAGAATAACCAACTATGTTAGACCAATGTTTGTAGGAGAGAAGGAAGAAGAAAGTGGCATTTTCTTCTCCTTCCTCAAACCCCTAAAGACTTGCACTATGAACACCAGGCCTCTCGGGAAGTGCAAATTCAGGGGACTACAATTGGGCAAAAAGTGAGAATGGCCATTGCAACAGTCCCTCCACATGGCATCACCCCTGAGCAAAGCCAAAATGACACACTAGCACAAAGCTTATGAACATTATTTTCCCACAGATTCATCTTCTGACTCTGTGGTATCATCCCTCCCCCGCTTTGGAGGTTTAAGTGTAGGGGCTGGGCTAGGAGAGGAAGGCTCGGTAACACAGCTCTGTCTGGAGCTACTCTGCAGTGGAAAGCCTAGGTAATAATGAGGGGTTGGAGCTACAAGCAGATGTACCAGTTCCCTTTGGTTGTGCTGAGTTCTATGGGAGTTTCTTGCAGATGTAAGCAAGAATCACAGGGTTGCTTAGGTGCACACCTGTGCATTCTCAGGGCAGACAAACAGGGCTACCCCAATGTTTTGGGGCAAAATCTGAAACTGAGCTCCCACCACAAACCTATCCAACAAAATGATCATGGGATCCCCCCACTCTGCTGTGGTAATTTCAGGCCCAGAGAGCCAAATATGGTGCCCCACTCTGTGCATTGTGACCTAGGGATGGGCAAGCCAAACATGAGTGATGCTACCATCCTATGCATCAAGTCACAATGTCATTCTATGGGCTTGGGGGCCCACTCAAAATGGGGATCCTGAGGAAAACTGCCCTTTTGGTGTCCTCCCCCTCCCACCCCCCCCGCTCTCAGGTGGCCTACAGGCAAACCTCACATCATGACATGTTGTCATTTGTCCCCCTCCCCCCGCTCTCAGGTGGCCTACAGACAAACCTCACATCATGACATGTTGTCATTTCTGGAACACCACAAGAAGGAAATTGAAAAATTCTACTATCTGAGGAGGTCTGTTTACTTCTCTGTCCAGTACTTTGTTTTGCTATTATACAAATAAACTGAACAACAACAGCTTGCTTGGCTCTCCTGTAGGCATTTCCACATAAGCTAGTCAATCATTTTACCTATTAGCTTTGGAAAATATCACACAAAAAGTAACTGTGAAACAGCAGCTATTGACAGTCTGTGGGAGAAGTAACTGTTAGACATTGAACTGATTCTGTAATTTTCATTTAGCCAAGACTGCACGAAGATAGAACGTATGAAACCACTGAACCCAATTTCAATTCTATTGAGGCTAAAGCATTTATATTAAAACTTACTGTTGCGACAAGGAGAATACTCAGCATATGCACTGAAGTTCTGAATAGCCACATAACAGGTGCCAACTGGATCTTTTTCAGGGGTGGCTTTAAGGGTCCTCCAATGATATAAGGGAGCACAAGCCTATTAAAACAGTAATTGGTTAACAGAACGTTTATGTGCCATACATGTGCTAAGTCAGTTCTTCATTCAACAGATTACTTTTGTTCCTGGTATGTTTCTATCAGTTGGGTAGAAATTCTCATACTGTGTAGGTGAAGGAACCATGGGAACCTTCATAAACTGCAATGTTCTCTACTTCCTCTTCATCATTAAAAATCTACTTACATCTAAGGATCAGAACCTGCCCTCTTGCTCCCCCTCTGCCCTTGATAGGTAAATTCTCCTAGACAGTGTTACCCACTTTCAAGCATGTATTATTAACACACGCATGCATGCATGCATGCATACACACACACACACACACACACACACACACACACACACACCATGCCTGATCCACAGAAGATGAGTCTGCTACAGTCCCAGTTAGGGGACTTAGTCCTTCGTCCTATGGTTTTAGTTTGAGAAATCCCTAATTCAGTCCCTTTTGATTCTCAAGAAATTGACTGTTGTAGCATAGTTCTACTGCATGGGGGGGATATGAAGAGGTTACCTCTAGATTCTGCAGAGCTGAGCTCTTTCTGTTGCAGCAGGTACAGTGTGGCTGGTGGTCTGCTATTACAATAAAACTTCATTGGTCCGGCATCTGATGGTCCGGCACCATCAGGAACCTGGAAGTGCTCCGGGCAGCCGGACCATTGGAGCTGCTCTGCCCCCGGCTTCTCTGATTCAGCCGCTGCTAAAATTGACTAGTGGCTGAATCAGGGAAGCTGGGGGCAGAGCAGCTGGAGTGCTGCTGGGTAGGTCCCGTAGCGCTGCCCCTCAGGGCTGCGGGACCAACCCAGCAGCACTGTCCCAGGTGTACCCAAGTCAGCTGCTGCTGAAACTGACCAGCAGCGGCTGGATAAGGGATGCCCGGGGGAC